CATCTTTTTTCTCACCTTTTTTGACACCTTTTTTCTCACCTTTTTTCACACCTTTTTTAACACCTTTTTTCTCACCTTTTTTAACACCTTTTTTCTTATCTTTTTTGACACCTTTTTTACATTTTTTTCACACCTTTTAACACCTTTTTTCTCACCTTTTTTCACACCTTTTTTCTCACTTTTTTTCACACCTTTTTTCTCACCTTTTTTAACACCTTTTTTAACACCTTTTTTGACACCTTTTTTCACACCTTTTTTAACACCTTTTAAAACACCTTTTTGACACCTTTTTTAACACCTTTTTCACATCTTTTTAACACTTTTTTTCTCACCTTTTTTTCACATCTTTTTTAACATCTTTTTTCTCACGTTTTTTAAACACTTTTTTTCTCATCTTTTTTGACACCTTTTTTGACACCTTTTTTACACCTTTTTTCACACCTTTTTTAACACCTTTTTTCTTACCTTTTTTCACACCTTTTTTCTCACCTTTTTTGACACTTTTTAACACTTTTTTTTCACCTTTTTTTCACACCTTTTTTACACCTTTTTCTCACTTTTTTACACCTTTTTTCACACCTTTTTGATACCTTTTTTTACTTTTTTGACACCTTTTTTGACACCTTTTTACACCTTTTTTCACACCTTTTTTTCACCTTTTTAAAACCTTTTTCCTCACTATTTTTTCATCTTTTTTCTCACTTTTTTCACACCTTTTTTCACATCTTTTTCAACTCCTTTTTCATACCTTTTTAAACACCTTTTCACACCTTTTTTGACACCTTTTTTGACACTTTTTTTGACACCTTTTTTCACACCTTTTTTTACTGTTTTGACAAACTTGGTATGATAAATAGAGTTCTGAACTGTTTATATGAACTTAATTTGATTAAGTATAGAGTTCTATAGCAACCTTGACCTGCCTAATCTATGATAAAGATTTGGCATTTGACTGTAAAGATAGTCTTTAATAATAAAAATAACCTTTCTCAAAGGATGAATAAGTTGAGGACTTGACCTTTCTCAAGGAAATAAAGAAGTCTGCACAAAGATGCACTTTATACTTCATTGTATCTCATAATAGAATACAGTATAGCTGGCTTATTTCATCTGGAATTAATTTTTTGCAGGCTCAAATCTACATGTACTAAAATTAATTCCACTAAATACAATGTATTGATGAAAATTTTGTAAACCACAAAAATAAATTAATTCTAATGAGAACCCTAAAACAAAAATTTGAGACCACAAAATAAATCAGCAGACTGTATTTGTTGTTATTTTGATGATGATTGTAATTTCCATAGGTTGAGACAAATAACCATCGTAGTACAGGGTCATTGGCCGAATTTTGCCAAAAATGGCTAGGAGAGAATTCTCTATTTTTATAATATTTTCTGCTGCATATACATGTTCTTATGTTGCGTAGCAAGTTTGAGCTGATTCCGATTGAATTCAGATTTTTTACGAATTTTTAAAGTTACTCAAAAATCGGGTAAAAGTCCCTGTACTATAGTACAGGGTCATTGGCCGAATTTTGCCAAAAATGGCTAGAAGAGAATTCTCTATTTTTATAATATTTTCTGCTGCATATACATGTTCTTATGTTGCGTAGCAAGTTTGAGCTGATTCCGATTAAATTTAGATTTTTTATGAATTTTTAAAGTTACTCAAAAATCGGGTAAAAGTCCCTGTACAGGGTCATTGGCCAAATTTTGCCAAAAATGACTAGGAGAGAATTCTCTATTTTTATAATATTTTCTGATACATATACATGTTTTTATGTCATGTAGCAAGTTTGAGCTGATTCCAATTGAATTCGGATTTTTTACGAATTTTTAAAGTTACTCAAAAATTGGGTGAAAGTCCCTATACTATATATAGTACAGCTTATTATTTTCATGAAATGAAAAATTACAAATACAATAAATCTTAGAAATGCCAGTTTTATGTAATAGAAATAAGATTGAACATTGCATTAAGATTCATTTAACACTTATTTAATTGACCTCAATCCTTTTTCTTACACAGGACATTAATGAACATCCTCCCGTGTTCACTCAAGCCACTTATAACTCAACAGTATATGAGAATCACACGATTGGTAGTGAGATTGGTATAACTGTCCTAGCCACAGAGAGTGGTGATACTGGACTCAATGATCCGCCTACTTATAGCATCATCAGTGGGAATGTGAATGGAGCATTCAGTCTTGATGAGAATACTGGAGTATTCACTTTAGCTCATTCACTGGATTGGGAGACATTAGCACCTAACCCTATTGCCATCAAAGTATGTGTGTTTGAGCTGAGAATTACATTAGTATCTTAATAATAAAATAATGTCTACTTTTTTTATTTCAAGCAATCGTCATGAGGTTAAAATGTTAACTCATTAAGAGGGCTGTGTTGCCTTTTTGAAAATGCCTTTTTGCAATAATTTATTTTATATGATAGCTAATTCCCAATGAGATCTGTCCCTTGTTGATTTGCTAATAATAATAATTATTGCACATTAGGTAAGAGCCATTGATAGGCACGACCAAGGAGATAGGGTTTTCAGTTCAACAGCAATGGTAATGGTAACAGTACTGGACGTCAATGACAATACACCATACATCACACAACCGCTAGGTCAGTGAATGAACCACTAAAATAAAAATCATTAATTAGCAGTAAGATTAATTGATTATTGTGATACACTCCTTTATTTATTTATCTATTTATTTATTTATTTTGTATAGGCCATCCTACTATAACTGTCTCTGAAGGAGGACCTCCACAAATTATAACAACAATACTAGCAACAGATCCTGATGGAGCTTCGGATGGATCGGTCACTTATGATATGGTCAATCCTGTAAGAATGACGCCTACTTTAACACTATAATTTATATTTTGTATATCATTAGTCTTATGGTAATTTCACTATTAATCCTGTTACTGGTACTGTGTTTATGCACACTCCACCTGACAGAGAGACTATCAGTTCCTTTTCAATTACTCTTATAGCAAGCGATCAACCTCCTGATCCTTCCACTGCCAGAACAAAGTAACGCATAATAATAGATAATAATAATAATGATTATTATTTTGCTATAGCTCCACATACATTAATATTGCTGTAACTGATATTAATGATCATCCACCTGTATTTGTTAATAATACAAACTTGTTTGTAACCATTCCTGAAGTAAGTGCATTAAAATTAAGAATGTTTGTGACTGTTGACATTAATCAATCAATCTTTAAAGGATACATCAGGAGCAGTGAGTCTATTAACAGTAACTGCAGTTGATAATTACGATATTGGAGTCAATGCTGAAATCGAGTACTTCATTGAAAGCAGTTAGCTATTGGATCAATAGCCATTAAAATTTCATGTTTTGTTGTTTTTAGTATCTCCTACATTCATCAGTCCTGGCGGTAATGCAAAGTTTCAGATTGATCAAACGACTGGTGTGCTACAGACCGGCTCGGTTGGTTTTGATTACGAGGACTCGACTGATAGATTATACACAGTAATCATTGTTGCCAGGGACAAAGGAACCAACCCAATGAGATTAACTGTAAGAGACTTACATATGTATATCCATTGCACGCTTTCCCTCTGTTATTATATCTTCATTGTTTCTGTTTCCAACTATTTTTTGAGCTACTTGTTTCTTTTCCTCTCTCTCTCTCTCTCTCTTCCTTTTCTCATTTTCTGTTCGGTTTAGGATACAGCCACAGTAACAGTTACTATAACAGATGTGAATGACAACCCTCCAGTATTATCTGCCTCTTTCTTTGACCACACCATCACTGAGAACTATGGAACCACACTCACACAATCTGACCAAGTCTTAATAACAGGAATAAACGTGTCTGATGTTGACACTGTATCCACCTCATTCCAATACAGTGTAGTTGATCCATTAAAGACACTTGGTCTATTCAACGTTGATCCTAATACTGTTAGTCATCATTATAGTTTTTTTTTTACTTTATTTTTTGTATTTTTAGGGTGACATATATGTACCATCGGGTACACACATAGATAGGGAGGACACTGATAATGTCATTGATGCATTTGGTAGAGCTGTCATTACATTTGAAATACAAGTCACTGATGGAACGTACAATGACGAAGCTGAAGTACGATTTACCAAAAATAATTTATTATTATTTACTAATAATAATAATTGATAGCTTTGATATTGGATTATTGTATAAGTATTGGAGCTTCAGTTGTGGGCCCTTCAGATTTTATAGTCTTCTATTTGGTGGTATAATTCTGAGAATATCAATTTAAACTCTAGACCACAAAAATAATTTAATTTTATGACATTGCAGTGGTAAAATGACACCACATTTGTATGTACTACATGTACATATGCACGACACGTATAAGTATTTTCCTATTACTGTAGGTGACCATATACATTACTGATATCAATGATAATGGCCCAATGTTCTCTACCTCATTGATCAGTACTGGTGTACCTGAGGGTGTACCTATTGGTACAGTAGTTGACATTATATCTGCCACTGATGCTGATTATGGTTCAAATGCTGTACTTACATACTCAAAGACCTCCGGTGATCCTGATGGTAATGGCATTATTTTGAAGCACATTAAAACTTTATTTATGAATGTTTCTTATACTCTAGGTCTTTTTAGTATCCCTGATGATACTATTGGTAAAATAGTGGTATCCGGTGATATTGATAAAGAGAACGGACCACCAAATAGTCTCTATGTGATCACATTCTATGTCACAGCCTATGACAGTGCTGGACACAATGACACTGTAAGCCAATACTATAATACATTAGTTTGTATCATCTTTATGTCAATTATTCCATACATTGTGTTATATATTATTGGCAGGATTAAACTATTGTTTTTTGTTGTTAGGTACCAGTCTCAGTAGAGATTACTGATGTTAATGATAACAGTCCTATATTCAATCCTACTTTTTATCAAGTGACAATATCAGAAGGATCGACTAACGATGAGCTGCTTGAGGTGGTCAATGCCACTGATGCTGACAGCGGTACGAATGGAGCCATCACTTACGCCATTGTTGGCGGTAATGTTAACAACGCTTTCTATATAAAGACTCCTTCGGTGAGTGAATTGCTGATTATTTTTATTTATTATTGATATTTTATAGTTGGGAGATGTGAGAGTCCTAGATGCTAGCGTCATCGATAGAGAAACTCTTTCATTTTATCGTTTAATAATAACAGCAACTGATGGAGCATTCCCGACATCATATCAGAGATCAGTGAGTTACTCTTTAACACTTAATTTATGAGTTTACTCTGATTCATCCTTTAGGCTGTTTCTGAATTTGTGATACACATCAGTGATATCAATGACAACACTCCACAATTCTTGCACACTGTACACAGAGGGACTATACCAGAGAATGCTGATAATAACACATTCATTGCTGTGGTAAGCCTTCTTAGATACATTATAGCAATCATTGTGATCACTGTGTATCATTATAATATAGAGTCCATCGGTATATGCCACTGATAGAGACATTGGCTCAAATGCTGCCATTACTTATGACATTGAAGCTGGCTATCCGTTTAGAATTGACCCAAACACAGGTTTTGTTTATACCTCTGAAGTCGGGGTCTTGGATCGTGAGACTATTTCCTCTTATAACCTGACGGTCCATGCAAGGGATGGAGGCGGTCGTGAGACGACCGGTCTATTACTGATTACTGTGACTGACATCAATGACAATCCACCAATCATTAATGAGGACCCATTAGCTCTAGCTGTCACTATACCAGAGAACTACACAGTAGGAGGAGACATTGCTCAGATAACTGCCAGCGATAAAGACGAGGGTGTCAACTCTCAGTTGGTTTTCAGTCTGACCGGCGGAGAGGGATACTTTCAAGTTGATCCAAACAATGGAAGCGTTACCCTCTCTCAGACCCTTATACACATTGAGAGACGATCCGATTTCATCGTAACAGTTAGAGTCAATGACGGGGGCAATCCATCATATTCGACTCATGTTTCATTCCACATCTCAGTCAGTGACGTCAATGATAATACACCAGTCTTCACTCATGCTCCTGCCTCATTCACTAAACAAGAGAACTCACCCTACCCTGTCATTCTTCCATTGACTCCTGGACTGTGGACTCCTAATGTAGTCACTGATGCTGATCTTGGCCTCAACGCTCAGTTTAATTTCTTCTTATCAGCCAACTCCAGTCCTGTCTTCTCTTTTGATAATTACACTGGCATACTGACTCTCATTAGTCCCTTAGACTATGAGTCTAAGACCCTGTATACTGCTCTTATATACGTGAGGGATAGAGGTAGCCCATCACTCCAGGCTCAGGATACACTGAGTATCAGACTGAGTGTCACCGATGCTAATGATCAACCTCCTGTCTTTGATAACAGAGCATATTCTACTAATGTGTCAGAGTTCACACAGTCCAATGTTCCATTGTTACTGGTCTCTGCCACTGATGCTGATACAGGTTAGCATATCATTGCAATGATACAGTATTTAAATACAATGTTGTGTACTAGTGTTTTAAGGCAGATAGATTTTGTGTACATTAGTATAAGAAGAATGACACTTAATTCTCTCATTTATTATTCCTTGATAGCCCCTTATGCTGTCATTACTTATCACTTGTTAAGCTCCAGTCCCGGTCTTGGTCATGATCTCTTCAAGATTGATTCCACGTCTGGTCTTATACTCACTAAATCCTACCTCTCAGAGACAAGCAAAGGTTGCTATGACCTGCTCATAGAGGCCAGGAATCCAGACGAGCCATTGCTTAATGATAATGCTACTGTGGATATATGTATCACTGATCAGAACCAAAGCCCACAGTTCAGTCAGTCCTTTTACAATTTCTCCATCAATGAAAACACACCTGCAGGTATAAATTATCAGTTTAGCACATTATGCATTTTCCCTATATGCACACTCCTTGTACATGTATTGTATACATTTATCTAATTGAGTTGATTTCGGGTGTTTGCGGTTACTGGTAAGTTGATGTGTACAGTTTGTGTGGGTATGATAACCTAATTATGCCAGTCTTTGTTGTAAGTTTATAATCATCTTTTGTAGCTGATCATGATGCTACCGTTGTTGTTATGTAACAGTCATGCAGGGTTTCCACAGGATTTTAGCATAGTGCTCAGCTTCTTGTCAGTCGATTTTTAGAAAGCTCAGAAATTTGACAAAACAACCTGAACTGGTGTTTTGTCAAATTTTGCCAAAAATAACTAGGCGAAAATTCTTCATTTTGATAATTTTTTCTGATGCATATACATGTCCTGATGTTGTGTAGCAAGTTTGAGCTGATTTCAATCAAAATTAATTTTTTTGCAAATTTTAAAAGTTGCTCCATACATGTACATGTAACTCACATAACACATGTTTTGTGGGAAACCCAGGTAAAAGTACATGTACATGTGCATGTATATAACAATACATTGACTAATATTATTGTTATTGTTATTATTATATTAGGTCACGTGTTAGGCGTTATTTCAGCCACAGATCCTGATGAAGGATCCAATTCCGTTGTCTCGTACACACTCATCACTGATCCCAATGATAATGGATTATTTGCTATCAATAGTAATACAGTACGTCACTGGCACATGCACACTGTCTGTTGTATCACATACTGACCACAATGTCATTTCTAGGGTGTCCTCTCTACATTATCGCCTTTGGATCGGGAAGATCAATCGCTTCATATTCTCACTGTGATCGCACAGGACATGGGTCAAAGTGGCTTCCAACACACAAATTACACTACAGTAATCCACTTATGGAATCCTCTTGCTCTTTCTTTTGTCTCATTTCACTATTTCACTCCCTCTCTCTCTCTCTTCCCTTCTATTTACACTAGCAGACATTTAGTGTTAATTATTATTAGCACAAGTGTTTAATTTATTATTATACAAATGTACCATAATATCTATGCATGTACACATTTAGTGAGTCATGTCTAACTTCTACTAGATACTGGTCAATGTTAACGATGTCAATGATAATGATCCTCAATTTCTACACAATACATTTGATCAGGAGTACACAATATCAGAAGGAGTATCCCGTAATACTACAATAGCTACCATACAAGCATCCGATGTTGATGTTGGCAATGTTAACTTGTTTAATATCATAAATGATCCTAGTAAGATAAAAATACTGGCTATACGCTTTGTTGTTTGTAACCGCAAATTATATAATCAGTTTTTTGATGCTGACTAATGTTTATGTGGTTTGTCTATATTTTAATTAGGATCATTATTCAAGATTGGTCACAATACTGGCTTGTTACAAACTGAAGGTGGTCCTGAGGATTTTGATAGAGAAACTTTCTCCAGTTATACTATCATAATTCAAGTGAGCTAGTACTACATTATACATTATAAATACATGTACATGTACATGGTTCATTGTACAAGTACATTGTTTGTCATTTGTAGTAATCAATCCCCCATTGTTTACTATTGCTGAAGTGAAATGTATTGATTAGTAGCATTAGGTGGTTGCGGTTTTGAACAGAGGGACAATTATTGTATGTACATGTACATTGTATTTGTATAGCTTTACTATCAAAATTAATCTCTTTAATCCCCTCTTCCTCCCTCTCTCCCCTCTCTCTCTGCCTCTCTCTCTGCCTCTCTCTCTGTCTGTCTGTCTGTCTCTCTCTCTGTCTCTGTCTGTCTGTCTCTGTCTCTGTCTCTGTCTCTGTCTCTGTCTCTCTCTTCATTATTATACTGTAGGTATATAATGCTGATAATGTACAAAGGAATAGTAATGCCAGCATAACATTCATTCTGACTGATGTTAATGACAACACTCCATACTTTACACACACCCTTAATGATACTTGTATCTATGAGAACTCACCTACTGGACTTGTGGTAAGACTGGCATATGTACATCTTTAGAATGTACTAAAGCTAAGTATAAATTCTAGATATTGTGTGTTCTAATGAGATTGTTCTGACTATTATTATCTTCATTTTAGATTGGCACATACACTGCTCATGATATCGACATTGGCATAAACAGTAAAGTGTTCTTTCAAATCACTGATGGGAATGATGGTGATGCATTTTCTATTGAAGGTAAATTGAATTAGTAACAATACCAACCACTATTACATGTATATACTTTAGCCCTAGATGGTAGTTTAAAGGTTCTAAATCAGTTGGACTATGAGGATGGTGTCACTGATTTCACTCTAACTATTCGTGTTCAAGATCTTGGTACACCTTCTTTCTTCAATGAAACAAGCATCAATATATGCATACTGGACGTCAATGATAATGGCCCAAGTTTCACACAGTCCAGTGTCGACCCTGTATCCATAATGGAGAATCAGCAAGATGGACAGTTTATAGCTACTTTTGAAGTCACTGATCTTGATAGCCCACCTTATGATGAGGCAGTCATTAGAATTGTCAGTGGAAATGAGTTGGATGCATTCTATTTCAATGAGAGCTCAAATAGTCTTTTTGTAAAGAATGGGAGCTTCTTTGACTATGAGAGTGGGAATAACACATTCACTCTTACTGTAGTAGCTGAGGACATTCACAACCCTGCATTTAATGATACTGCATTGGTAAGTGTTACCTCTACATGGCATACTTTTAAAATACCTTTCTCTTTTCTGGCCTCTCTCTCTCTCCTCTTAGGTTACCATTACTATTACTGATGCGAATGACAATCCTCCAGTATTAGATGTTAACTTCCTTGACATTTCACTATTGGAGTCAGAGACAGTTGGTGCTATCCTTGGACAGCTTGTTGCAACTGATGCTGACACTGGGAGCAACGCTCAAGTATCTTATGCTATCAAATCACAAAGTACCTACTAATTGCTGTTGTAGTAATATTGATAGGCAATTTAGAACAAATATATAGTATTTTTGATGTTATTATTATTCTTATACTTGTATGGCTGTTGTTTTCTGTCATTGCAGATGGTAACAAGTTTTCAATTGATCCAGTTACCGGTCTGATTACATTGACTGATGGCTTGGACTATGAGACACCACCTAACCAATATGAGATAATAATAACAGTGACTGATCATGGGGTACCACCTCTATCAGCGACTGCCAGTGTGAGGGTCAATGTTACCGATATTAATGACAACCCACCAACCATTGATCCACCTATTATTGTCAAAGACTATTACATACCTGAGGTCAGGACATTACTGATCTTTTCAATGTCTTCATTATGTATATATATTTACAGAATGCAACACATGGGCATTTTATACTGGATGTGAATGCTACTGACCCTGATACTGGCCTTGGTGGAGTGTTGAGCTATGAGTTCAGTAATGGTTTTTCAACATATGGAGACCCTCCACTGTTTGCTATTGACAGTGTGACTGGTGATATAATACTGGTTGGGAGTCTAGACTATGAATCTACCATCATATATGAGGTAAGACATAAAGTGTAATTGTACAAGAGTATGCGTACGTTTGATAGTGTCTAATTGAGTTAATGGGTGTGTGTGTATTTGTATATTAGGTTACAGGGGTAGTAAAAGATGGAGGAAACCCACAGTTCCAAGACAGCTTCAGTTTTACAGTACATGTTACTGATATCAATGACCATATACCAACTTTCAAGACACCAATTGTAAGCTATCTCACATCTTCAATCAAAACTATTATTGTATATTCATACAGTGTTAGTTCAGCACTGTTATTATTGCTATTATCATTATCATTATTATTATTATTATTATTATTATTTGTTGTTGTTGTTATATTTTTTAGTATTCAAATTATGACTTGTTTGAGGATCAGGTCACTGGCCCTAATAATCCTTTTACTCACTTGAATGGAACTGACATTGATGCAAGTGATGCTAATAAGTTATACTTTTATGCTGTATCAGATGATGGCTACGCCGTTCCTAATTGTGTTGGAGCTTTTTGTGTGTCGCGTAATGGCAATGTATACAATCACAGATCGTTAGTAAGTGAAATCCTAAATGCTTACAAAAATACCACTTTTAATATAAAACAATACAATTTGAAAACTCCATTGAAAAGTTTTGTTACTAGTTGCATTGGGTTGTATTGTCATTGGCTATTCCATTGATTATTGTAGGATAGAGAGATTGAGGATACTCACACACTAAGAGTGACTGTAAGCAACTCAATGTCAACTGATAAAAGTGTAAGTCAAATAATAATTATTATTATCATTGTTATTATTGTTAATTTTTCTTTAGAACAAGACTGTTACAGGTGAAATACAAAAAATTAAGACTCAAAAATAGCATGTGACACTATTTCTCTTGTTCTCCCTCTCTTTTCTTTCCTTATTTTAGATCTAAATCTACCGACACAGGTACTGACTATTACTATACTTGATGTCAATGATAATGCACCTCAATTTATAAGCTTTGAGACTAAAGTTGGTAAGTCATTATTCATGATGCAATGACATTCATTAATTCATTCTTTCCTTTACAGGCATTGATGATAATGCAGCTATAGGAACTAGACTATTAACCATTCAGGTAATAATCATTATTAAATTTTGTCAAAATATATTCCCAACTGCTTTAGTCAATGCCCTTATGCCATATAAAAATTAAGTTAATTTCGATTAAATTTTTAACATCAAAATATTTCTTTTCTTGTTATTATTAGACCAGTGATGCTGATGTTGGAGACTTTGCAAAAGTTTGGTATAGAATAGAAGGACATGGAGCAGCTGTCACTATCGACAGAGAAATTGGTGTGATCAATACAGCTGGGTCATTCTTCAATGAAGCAGGACGCCGATACACAGCAACTGTTGAAGCATATGACAATGAAGGAAGACTACCATTCAACACTAATTCGATATCAATATTGGTTAGACTTGAATAGAGACTTGATTGTATTTGACAAGAAGTGTTTATTTTTATAGTTTTATGTGTACGACTATCGAGACAACAGTATTATATTACAAGTTAACCAAACTGTTTCTTACGTACTACAAAACCTTGCTGAATATCGAAGGTATGCCTATCCAAATGACTAGTAAAAAGAGGGCAGGACTCTACTTTAATGATTTCATTCTATACATTAGGATTATACAAAATGCAACTGGTGGTCAAGTAGTAATTACTGATGTTCGTCCAAGCATTAATACAGTCACGGGACAAGTTGATTACTCAAAGTACAGTATATACTATAAACGATAGCATCCATACATATTACACTATGCATACACACATACATGCATACTACATGTATAATGTAGTGTAATATTCAATATGTGATAGCACTATGTCCTTAATGTTTTTTTTGTAGAACTGATATAGTCTTCATTGTTATCGATTCGAATACAGATACACCTTCTCCTGGTTCAGAAATAATAGAGTGAGTATTATTAATACCTATTAATACTTTAATATCTATTAACATCATATCTATTTCTGTACATGCAGAATTTTTAATCAGCCTGGAACAAATGTGTCCCTACCTGGAATTAATGGGACTCCTGTCATTACTGTGAGTGAATACATTGAATAACCTTTAATTTTTATTCTTTTTTCCCTTAATATGTATATATAGGTACCAGCACCACCTCTAGTAACCACTACAGGCTATGATCTCTGGCTTATTATACTGATAATAGCTGCAATGGGCTCTGTCATACTCTTGCTCTGCTGTGCTTTCTGTGTTTTTCTAATCAGCGAAAAGAGAAGGTGGGTGACCAACCGTAGAGTACTCTTTGACTCCGTTAGTAAGAATTGGTTGGATTCAGTTTTTTTATTTGACATTGTGGTTGACCGTAATTTTACTAATTAGATAGCAATCTCCCACACTGTCACTACTGTTTAGCCAATAAATAATAATAATAATTGATGAAACTGATAATTTTTCACTCCACACCCTGATAGTAGTACTAAATATACACAAGCGTAATAGTAATTTTTGTCAGCAAGGTTTCCCACGAAGCAAAACAGCGCTATGCTTCATGAACTGACAATTTTTTGCTGAAATACCCTGTACTATAGTAGAGGTTTCTTTATAAAAGTCGTTCTTATCCTATGTTTGAGCTGATTTCAATTACGAAATAGATTTTTGGAAATTTTAAAAGTTGGTCCAAAAGTATTAAAAGCGTTATTATTATTCGTGTAATAATGTAGTGATTTTCTATTCTCTTGACATTAGGCGTAGGAAGCTAAAAGAAGAAAAGAGTGAACTCAATGGTAAGTATATTCAAGTAAAATGATACTAATTTCTAATTTTTTTTATGCAGATGATTTCTCATTGACAAGAAGCACAGCGTAAGTGTCTCAAGTTTATTAAATATATATATTTTAAAATTCGATATTGTAGTGAGTACAATACTACTAATAATCCATTGTGGATATCACCTGTCATGCTGCCAGGAAGAGATGACATTTCTAGTATATCGTAAGTACAAATAATAACCAATAATAATAATAAATGATATTTTTGATACAGATCAGTCAACACTAAACCTACTGTAGTTAAACCCAATCCAATGTATGAAGATCAGGTGAGTCCATACTAGATCTAAATAGACTCAGTATAGCATGTGCTACATTATGAATGGTCTTATGAAGCCACTGTAAGGACCAATAATAACGTAAATGTACTATGTGTATATGGTGAAGTCACCAGTCTACTAATAAGATTAAGAGATGATTATCATTTAATATGATGATCTTGCAACTGTCGCATGATGAAATTCTATTTTTTATGTAGGAGGTCAATCTTGAATTATTAGATGACGATGATGAGCCTTGGAGCAGTACAGAGAATCTTATTGTTCCGCCAAAGAATGTCACTAAGCTAAAGGGAACCCGTCAAATGACTGATGACGATCTCCTTGATCAAGCAGTTGGTCTTTCACCTTCGAGGAGGTCTGTTGCTGATGATGATGAAGATGATGAAAGATTTTCTTTCATTTAAAACTTTTTACTTATTTTGTATGCATATATAGAGCTCCATGCTGTACACACACACACATTAAATGTTATAACTTAATGAGTATGACATGCTCACAATTGAAATGTAGTGTTGATTTTTGCACGAGTCTTTGACAAAATTATATTTTAATAATGATTAAATGAGAGTTTAAATGAAAAATTTAAATACACAGAACACAAATAATGCACAATACTCGTTGATAAAACATTTGTTTGTTAATTGTTCTTCTTAAATAATAAAATTATTATTTTGTTTACGAGGCAACATGCTCGTCCTCTGGTAGACTATTAGTTTCAGAATAGAAGGCATCGCTATCCTCTTCTTCGCTCGAGAAATCATCAGTGTCAGCCTCAGTATCGAGCTCCTCCTCAGAAAACTGGCACAGGGCAGTGTGGAGCTCTTCAAAGGTAGGACGGGACTTTGCCTCCATGTCCCAACATTCCTTCATCACATTGTACACTTCAGACGGACAATCATCAGGACGATGGAGGACTTTCCCGTGACGAATAGCTTCAGTGACTTCTTCATTTGATAGCCCATAGTAAGGTTGAAGAGCAAAGGAGAACACCTCCCACATAACGACACCGAAAGACCACACATCACCCTCGATAGAAAACTTGCCATAGACGAGGGACTCAGGGGACATCCATCGAACGGGGAGAATGGCTTGCCCATTGATGCGATAATAGTCCCGACTGTAGAGGTTCCTACTCATACCAAAGTCTCCTATCTTTACTTTGAGGTCGGAGTTAATGAGACAGTTACGACAAGCGAGGTCACGATGCACGTGATTCTTACTGGCCAGGTACTCCATTCCACTGGCAATCTGTCTACATATGGACAGGAGCTGGGTTTTACTGAGTGCCGGGGGGTCGTTAGAATAACTGGACTCTGTACGAGAGCGATGGTCGAAAGGGTTCAATAAACGTCGCTGCATGCTTGAGGCTTTAGAGCGAAGGTACTGGGTCAAGTCTCCTTCATCCATGTATTCAAAGACCATCTGGTAAGGCATCTCAGTCATGCACACGCCATATATGTGAAGTATGTTTGGATGGTCGAAAGAAAACATCAGCTTGGCTTCTTCAATAAAGTTTGACCTAATCTCAGATGACGACTCCTCCTTCAGTGTCTTGACTGCAACCTCTATCTCCTCATCGTCTGATGCTATACCAAAAGCACGTCCTTTGAAAACGATTCCAAAGTTACCCTGACCTAATTGACCGGCGTATTGAATCTGCTTAGGGTTGAGTTTATGGAAGTTGTTGGGCAGGTCCACTTCATTGCTCATGCCTGTCGTTGCTTGGAAATAATTCGAGTTGACAACAAAACTGTCATCGTTGAGCTTCTTCCTTGTAAGGCCTTCAAGCTGCAACTCTATAGACTCCTGCTTCTTAAGATTCTTCCTCCTCCTTTGAATATAAACTATAAAAATCAACATGCCGACTATACCAAGGACAAATATGACTAGCACCACTATCAGGGAAAACACCAGCGCTGTCATTTTGCTCGACTGAGCTCCATCAACAATGCCCGGTCCTCCACTGCTAGTCCCAGGGAGGGTACCTTCCGGCTCTTCGTAGTTGTCACAGTAACGAACACGACAATACTCCCAACTGTTAGACCCAGTGTAGCACCATGGCCTTCTCAAGACCCCTCCTGGGTTACGGCAGTGGTTCTGAGCATTAGCTAGTGTTGGATGATACATGGTGCTAATAGGATGATCCTCTGACTTCCAATCATGACAGGTAGCACCGCTCTCAGTAATAGAGACATTTCCAAGGTAGTCGATGCCCTTGTTAACGTAGCAAGTATCTAATATGAGAGAGAGAGGGGGGGAATATTATTATTAAAGTGAGTAAAAGACATAACATAAATGTGAAGCTTCTGTTGAAACAAAGCTGAAAGTACAGGAGTAGTGAGCATTGGTATCAAAGGTAATACTATCAGTTAGTGTACACAAACCAAATTAGCAGGCCATACAAAACAGACCTGCAACCCACAATTGAGTAAATCATTAACCACACTATCAGATATTATACTACAGGTATACAACCATAAGACCCAAAGTGAAATCACTCTATTAAACTAATAAATACTTATAGTAAATAGTAAGACTTACAAGTGCTGTTGGCCGGATTGGACGCTACAGTGGGAGAAAAAAAAAGAGCAAAGCATTAATAATTACGAATGGTATACTAGCTCTCTACCTTGATTTCCAATGACTGGTATTTGAAGGGGCTCCTCACAAGTGCCATTGCATTTCATCTCACTAAGGAAACCAGAACTTTGATCACTCTTGAAAAACTTATCAAACTCCTTGTAGACAGAAGGACAGAGACTCTGTAGAGATTGTCTCAAGGAGCAGTGTCTGCCACAGAGCTCCTTAGGGCCAGACTCGTCACACCGAGGGAAAGCACTGTGACACAATAATATCCTGAAAATATCCTCGCAGCCTTGAGAAGGTCGGAGATGATAGCGAGTCCTAAAGAACACTTGACTGATTTTCTCTTCGATGTCCTTCTGGCTATCAATCTTGCTCCCTTTCCTTATAAAGACATTGGCATTATCATAGCCTGCCAGAGCAGAGCACATGGTCCCATTGTACGTATCACAAGTGTCTAAGGAAGAGGAAGACAAGACAGTTAATATTGTATTTTGCTTCTTTCTGCTAATTACAGTGTACATGTATGCTGTTGACCACAACAGCAAGCACAAGTATTAATAATTAATTATTGGCAGTGATGATGATCTAATGTAAGCAGATAAGCCACACTGTAGGTATACTAATACCATATATGCATGCTCGCATACAATCAAATCATTAATAAGCAAAATGTAGCCACCTAATAAGAAACCACAACTTGAACACACCCCTCAAGCCTTATATATCAATGGGACCACAACTACAAGCAAAACCACAAGATTCTATAAGACTTCCTCAAACTAAAGCTGTTCCCTATAGATATGATAAACTATACGCTTACCACATGAGGGTATGTCACAGTACTCCCATCTAACATTAGGGTCACTGGTGTAGCACCAAGGTCTCTCTCCCAGACCCCCAGGGTTCCTACAAGACTGTCCAGCATTATGAAGCTCTGTAGCATAGACCGAGGGTAGCATAGGATGCCTGTGTGGTGTCTGGAGGACCCACAACTGACAGGGGTGGTTTGAGCGGGTCCGGTCCTGTCTCCCAGTATAGCCGATCCCTTTGCCACGAACACATGAGCCTGTGTCCTCAACCGACTGGACTTGATCTACACAGACAAAGAGGAAACATAAATTGCATTAAGCTAAACCCCAAGAGATCCCAGTTTACTATTAGCAACTGACCTTTTCTGGAAGCATCATAACTCAATGGTATACATTCAGGGGCTTCACCGCCTTCACTGGACCGGCACATACTGATTATTGTCTGGTAGACTGAGGGATGCTCTCTCTTTATCCTCTCGGCATCAGCTGAACACTTTCCATGAATGAATTCATTACAAGTTGTATTGCATGTTGGCCTTGGTAGTGGTCTCAAAGGCTGGCGGGCATCGCAGTAAGGATAGACTGTGTGACAGAGGAGACTCTTAGCCAAATCCTCACACTTCCGATCCTTCGTATTGTCCCTGATGTTGGTCATGGCTAGGCTGATGTAGCCCTCTTGGCTCTCTGAGGACGTGTTGATATAAATTGGAAGCTGGTTATGTAAATAGCTCCGGCAGAAAGAGCTTGGTATTGCAGAGTCTGCAAATTCGCAACGTAAGCTACAATAAAGAGAAGAATACAAGAGTATCATATAGTCAGTATAATGCTGGACAATAATAAAACGGTCAAGGGAAACCATATATCTCTAGCCACAGGCCAGAAGGGCACAGACAGTGGTCAGCACACTCAGCTATTTGAGGCTTTACAGTCTCCAAGGCCAGACCCTCCAGACCATCCCCAGAGACTCTAAGACTAACTTGAGGCCACATTTTAAAACCAAAGGCCACCCAACCATAGTTTTAAAACCAAAGGCCACCCAGCCATACTCTAGAGAACCACCAACTGACAGGAAGGCAATGTTGTAATACTTCAGTATGTATAGCCAAACCACAAGGTATAATTATAATTATTATTAGTATTTGTAAAATACACACTTACTCATTTGATGAATTGTATTCTAAAAAAAAATAAAGAAGAAAGGATAATTTATTATGTTAGTAATACACTCTACCATACCTCTCACTGTCACAAAAACCGAGCGTGCTTTATCCACCAGTCTTTTCCCTTCTGGCGGATTGACTTGCACATTCTGAGCCAGGCAGTAGTATTCACCACTCATGTCAGAGGTGGCATCATTGAGAATAAGAGTGCTGCTACCATATCCACTTCTTTGTGTGATGCCTACACCGTTTGAAACAACTTTGATCCATCTCACTAACGGAGTGGGAAACCCTCTAGCTGTACACTTGACAGTCTCAGACGTCATTTCATCCATCACAACATTTGATAAAGTTTGATCAATGGCTGGCGGAGCTGTAGACAAGAGAGACACAAAGAATGAATTCAGACCTCTTATAAAACGACTTACATTGCCTTCCAAAGTAATAAATGTGAGAGCCAAGAGATCTGTATCTTCCAACCTCCAAAACCCTTTCTGGCTGATTAGACACTAGAAACTGATAATAGGTGACATTGTCCAAGAGCTGTGAAAAACTGTAATACTGTCGGCGTCCAGGAACGTTTATCCACCCGTTGGCATCCTTGGTGCTAGTACTAGTGTCTCTATCACCAGGAGTGTTGTCCACAGTCGAAAAATATTGAATTTTAACTCTCCAGTGTCTGGAACCGGAGCAATATGGGATGTTTTCTGAATTTTTCTCTGTAATGTTCCAGGTCAGGTTGACTGCCACGCTTCCGTTGGGAAAGATGAAAGATTGAACTACAATGTCTTTAACAGTTGGCAAGAAACACTCCTGCACCAGGCCTTCATGGGAATCAGCTATTAAAAAAATATCAACAAATTATAGCTGTACAACAACTGTATTAAAAACACTTACGTATTGTAAACACAAGATCATTGGACATTTGGTTTGCCTTATTACCAATCTCATTAATTACGCAGCGATATAATCCATGGTATGAAATATCAAATCTGGAAAATGAAAATGTGTATTTGTACAATTTATTCCGACGATCATACGAATGACTAATTTTGTAAAAAGAGTGATAAAGACTGCTGATGGGTTTGTCCGCTAAGTACACATTGACCTCCGAGAGGCAGTTGGATCGATATACGCACTCCTTTTGCAGACTAGCACCAATCCCAAGGGGGACCCTACTGAATGTACTTTTGAACTCGAAGGCACAGTCTCTGCCAGAGACATGACCTAACAAAGGAAATGAAAGCAATCAACAGTGCATTGGAGCATTTTCACACAGGACCATACACGTATTAGCACCAGTTTACACGCTACAAGTGCTAATGCTGTGTACAATAAGTGGATTTTCATTACAAGGCACGCTAGCCAGGCAGTATTACTAACAGCACTGTCTGCTACTTACTTGAGCAGAAGCTACAGAAAACGAGGGCAGCGATTAATATCGAGGTGACGGACATCATTAGCTATATCTCGCCTTGACCACGTACAGGCACAGCCAGTGAATTTCTTTTCTTGGATGATTGTGAGCTTTGGTTTCCACACGAGCAGCAAGCTCAATTCCCTGGGATTTTATAAACGTGTAACGCCCACGACCGACAAAGTGCTAGTTAATAAAATCAATTAATCACAGTTAAGGATAACACAATAATAGCAACAGTATTGATTGATTTCCTGATGTTAAAGTTTGAGACAGTCATTCTACAACTTGTTTAGCATTAGCATGAGAATACATGTGACTCACAGCTACCTACAACATAGAGAAATATATCTTTTAATATAAGAAAGAGATTTGACAGAAGATAAAATATTCAAAAGACAATAATTGTTGGCAATAAAATAATGTCAACAACAATAAAGTAACAAGAGAAGATATTATAATTATCTTTATGATAGTTGCTGCATGTTAGATAATAGCAATATTAAACCAAATTTGGCATATGAGCCAAAATTCACTTCCCAATTGCCAATCGATCCCATTAAACAATAATGATTGAAGATACAAACTGACACTACTAACTCAGCAATGTAATACAAAAAACTTTTGAAATTGTTTATTTTCATAAAAGCAATAAAACTTGTCCAATGTCTCCAAAAGTGCTGCAGTCATACACAAAGCAAGAGACATTGGATATATTTATTGTATATAAGGATTACACACAACACAGACTTTGAGATAAGGATATAATCAGCGTCCAGACCACATCAAAGATATGAATACATAAAACGAGAGAATGGGTGTGGTAAAGGATAAGAGGTGAATCCATTGGGTCACTAATTACTAGCTTACAGTTACTATGAGCAAAAGAGAGAGGAGGAAGAGAGGGAGAGGAGAGAGTTCCAAAGGTAATAAAAGGTGGTTTATAAAACTCAATACTTCAGTACAAAATAACTATGTACTCGTGGTCATAGCTAGATTTTAGTAACACATGATATGACACGTTCTTACTATGTAAAAAAAGTTATGTACTGCTTACTCTTGCTCTATTCAGTAAACAGTTACATGTTGAATTGTAAACAGTCTTAAAAGTGTTGATTTGTTCTGAAGACTCTCTGAATAGCAAATTAAATACTTTTAAGGAAAGGTACACCACCTACATGCAGACACCATAAGGTGAAGGATTATGCTTGGAATTACATTTAAAGTCACTTCCCCCAACAGAGTGTACTAAGTGAGCTAAACAGCATGAGCTTCATGAGCTGACAAGCACTACAATACAGTACATGGCATTTGGAGTAACTTTAATAAATCATAAAAAATCCAAATTTGATCAGAATCAGCTCAAACTAGATATACAATACAATATCAGAACATGTATGTGTATCAGAAAAAATTGTAAAAATGGAGAATTCTCTCCTAGCGAAATTTGGCCAAATACCCTGTACTAAACATAAAAAATTTAAAAAAACAAGATGAAGTAGGATTCCGAACGACCAACGAAAATACGAAATGAAATCCTACTCATGACACAAATTCTACTCTACATTGACTTTCAATGTTATTATG